GTTTGAGTCATCGTCTTTTGGCTTACAGTATATCTAAAAAATTTTACCCTTACAGGTCATATTTTTTGATGGGAAGAATCTTAACTTGGATGGTCCTGATGGGCTTGATTCTTATTAGCATGATTTGGCAAAGGATCCTATGTTTTTTCAAGGACAGACTTTGGAGGTGGCTCCGTCATGATTTGGGGTACATTTTTTTCATTTGGTACCTGGGAATTGAAGTTTGTAACGAGCCGAATGAACAGTGAAGAATATATTCAGACTCTGGATAGTAGTCTCATTCCATATTTAAGGGAATTATGTAAGAAACCAATGGTTTTCCTACAGGTTAATGCCAGAATCCATGTGTGAAGACGTACAAAAGAGTGTTTGGAGGAATGTCATGTTGATGTCCTTGACTGGCCAGCATGTTTTTCGGATCTCAACCCGATAAAAATGTCTGGGGTAATCTTCCAAGACGGGTGTATGTTAAAAATCGCCAATTGGAGACAGTTCTATATCTTAAAACGCAAATTCTAAATGAATGACAAAGTTTCGAAAAGGACCTTTTATTAAATTTAGTGGTTTCAATGAGGAAGAGAATTTTTGAGTTAACTAAGGCAAATGGAGGCCGGACTAAGTATTAACATTAGTTTTTCCATCAATCCGCAACGAATTCGGATTTTTTTTACAAAAATATGAATATGGGCTATAATTTTGATACAGCAAATGGTGCCGTTTTTCTTTGTTTTTTACTTCTTTTTAAGAAATCGTTATTAAATCGTTAATTTAAAGTGAAAAAGTTTTTTGCCATTCATAGTTGAAATATTGAACTACTCATTTTTGAAGATTTTGAGGAAATATTCCATCTGGGAAAAATTTCCAGCCGATTCGTTTCAGTGGATTAAAAGTGGGCTATAATTATGATAAGCACTGTATATGATGAACCCATTAAAAATGGAAAATCGATATAATGGTTCTATAACTATCTCGATAACTCATCCCTTTATTTTGTTATCGACTAAAAACCTTATCGAAAATCAGTTATAAAAGTATTTCTCCTACATCTTTAAAGCTACTGTCTCCAAGTTTAATTTAATTTTTAATTTATTTAAATGCATTTTATCCCTATATCCACCCCCTCACCCCTAAATTTGTAAAAAGCTTATTTAAGAAATAAACAAATAATTATTGAAATATTAGTTGCTTGAAGGGGATCTCGTAGTTGAGCAGTCTCGACTAGAGATTTCTTATTTGTTTTTTACTTATTAATATTAAAAGTTAAGTGTTAAAAAATTAATTAAAATTGAATTTAATGAGTGCTCGCATTATTAATTACCGTACAAGTATCAATAAGAGGAAACTAATCTCATATGGGCGGCTAAGGAAGGCGTCGACAGATCGGTCTGAAAAATATATATATTTTTATGTGTATCGATACTATCATATCGTACCAATTTTCAAGAACCTAGCTTTAAAACTTTAATTTTCGTCGAAAAATCGGCTCGCTGGCCCAATATGCACTGTCAGGTTGGGCTCGCTGAAGGATGAAGTTGAACCACCGTTCACAGCCTTTGGATGGGAAACGAATAGACGCTTCAACTCCTGAAGCTGGTTGTGGGCGCCAAGAAAATTGGTGGCATTGTTAGACTATATTTGGGTTAGCCTTTCTCTGGTGCATACAAAGCGTTGGTAGTTAAATCCTTGACTAGCTCTAACCTGATGGCTTTCGTACCAAAACAAATAAGCTCACAGACGCAGTATTTCACAAGAGCCTTGTTTCGTGCCTCAGAATCATAAAAGAACGGTCTGAAAAAATCGACGCGATCCTTGGGTAGATATGCAAATGTGCCATCTCTGAATTACATTGGCTACATTTTTCATACCTCCAATCGCCCAATATTGGGAATGAGCCAAAGCTAGCACTGCTCGGGGACAAGTTTCGCTGATGGTACTCCATGATGGTGGCTCGAGCTCTTAGATGACTTTTGGGAAAAATAATTATCGAAGTGTTTTTGAACCGCGTACCACCCAAATTTCATCAAGGAACTGCGACAGAGAGGCAAGACAACTGGATGACGGAACCTTTCCTTTAGCTCGAAGCGTAGTTATGGCGTTCCAGAGATGGGCTCGTTGAATCATTCTCAAAAGTATATGCGTGCCGTTCCGGATCTGCGAGAGTTACTCCTGGACAATGACCCTTTTTTATAAGCTTTGATACATATGCAAAAGTAGCTGTCCAAAGAGGCTTCATGAACTGGGTCTTCCACCAGAAGGCACTCCTGGGTCGCTGCCAAAGTTACTGGAGATATCCAGCCATGCAATGTGACGTGCCGACGAAAGGCTCTCGTACCACTCATATACAAGAATTACGCTGGTTTTGTTCCATATGTGACCTTATCAGCTTATAACTCATCATCTGGAGAATTCCTTCATAGAATACATTACAGATAGATGTCCTCGTCCGGTACATTCATTACTTAATTACATTTTGCAAACATCGCCGGTGAGTGCAACTGGGCCGGATCGAAAGCGTAGTCGATCAATTTAGGCTGAATGACATGACCTGACATTAGAATGTCATTCACCGAATAACCTTACAGACGACGCGAAGTTTGGTTGTTGTGTTATCTATTTTTAAAACGCAGTGATGAGGAAGAAAATATCTACGTTGTGAGGAAAACGAGACATGTGATCAAGCTCGAGATACACTTTCAGGAATGCTGAATATTGATACCTTTTATGAGGCAAACGACTCAATTTTCTCTCCAAATTAAACAAGTAAGAAAACTCTAGTCGAGAGTGCTCGACTAGATACTACCCTGAACCAAACTAATAAAAACGAACATTCAGTATGGTTAAAATTTTAATTTCGATGTATTTAAAAATATAAGAGAAATAGAAAACTCTTTTAATTAAATATATAAATATTTTGAAACAATTAAAAAACAAGTAAGAACGTTGCAGTCGGGCGATACCGATTGCAGAATACTCACTCACAGCCCAAACGCTGTCAACCAAAGTATATAGTGCAATTTTGAAGTCTAGTGCGCAACAAAAAACAGGGCATGATCCCATAAAAATTGGAAAATCATCGATAGCTATTGCTATCAACATTGCATCATTACAGCTAAGATGTTCAAATTACATATCATGTATGTATGTATGTATCATTTATACAATTTTGATTTTTATTATATATTTATTGAATACAGGATCCAAGCTAGAAGCAGATCAGCGCGATTTTCCTATACATGTGCACAAACTCATAGTCTATTCTATGCGCAAAGACGCGCGCCTTTTCTCACATTCTTAGAAATTCGATTGATTTCTGGATTTTCTAGCCGTTACTGTACTTTGACTGCTGACGCTCTCTTATTAAACTATTCTATTTTAGCAACTGGCTGATCAAACAATGCAGTGGCGCGGGTTCGAAACCTCTTCGATGTTATTTTTTTTTTTTTTTCATACATATTTCGTTTTCTATAAAATAGATATTTTATTGGGAAGGTGCGAGATCGAATAAATTACACTTAATACTTTTCTTTTTCTTAGTCGAATAATTTTATAAAGTTAAACTTGTTTCTTCTTAAATAGCCCTCAAATACATATATACATATACATATTCTAAGAAACGACGTGGTGGTGCGGTAGGCAGAAGCGCAGGCCATCTTTATTTTAGTTATTTTGACATGAACATGCTATTTGGCTTAGGTGCGAGTTCAAATCTCACGGAAAACTCTATTTTGTAATTTGAAAATTTTTGTTAATTTAGCTTCCTTTATATTTTTTAAATTTCATAAAAATGTTTCATTCCGTAATATGAATATCTATGAAGCTTATTTATATGTACAAATAAATAATTAGATGGCTGACGCATATAAATGTCTGGCACAATAAATGCCGATTGCCACGCCCTTAGTGGCCGTAGCAACCGGTAACCTAAATGCAAGATTTGAATTCTTACGCTCAAAATATGTAAAAATTACAGGGAATTTTTCGATATGCCACGCCCCTAAAGAGGCGTAAAAATTATTTTTAGGGCATCGATAGAGGAGCTTTTCAACTAACATGATTTCTGGTATATCGGAAAATGGATTTTCCGATTTGATACGCCCCTAGTGGGTGGATCAGGAAAATTTTAACTAAACTAAATTTATAAATCGGAGATATACACGGGTATATGTTCCAAATTTCAAGAGTCTAGCTTCAATAGCGGACGGACAGACAGCAAGACGGACATTGCACAAAACCAATATACTCATTTCACTTTCGTCAATGAGTACAATAAATATCCATTGCGCGCTCTGGACTCGAGCCCGAGACCTTTCCATCGAGCGCCACGCCACTAGTCACAACGCCACTTCACGTTTCGAAATCCTGATGGCAAAACTGAAATAGATTCACTGTTGCAGCGCCATTTAGCAAATCTAAACTAAACTAACCGTTTAGAATTCTAACACATCATCGCAATTTGATTCTTAGAATATGCTAGAATAAGTTTGAATGTATGTGTGCACTTATATGAAAACTGTTGTAGCTGCTACGCGTGCGTTTGTTAATTAGCAAAACATTTTATTATTTTTTAACGTCGATAACGTTGACTTAAAAAAAAGGAAAAATCATTCACAATTAGCTATACTGGCATCTGACTTGAATTTGAAAAGGTTTAAACGATAAAAACATAACGGGATGATTTATCAAATTTTAAACTCGACATCTGCGGTCATTTAAAAATAAAATTAAGGTGACTAGCTCTTATATCTTCGGAGATCGACGCGTTCATACATACGGACGGACAGACAGAGAGACGGACAGGGTCAAACCGACTCAGCTCGTCGCCCTAATCAAGAATATATATACTTTGTGGGGTCTGCCACGCCTCCTTCTGCTGTTACATACATTTCAACAAAACCATTATACCCTAATTTCCCATTTTCAATAATTTCAGGGTATAATAACGTATTATTTGTAAGTCAATGATAATCGGTACAAAATATATCATTTATATTTCTTTTTAGAACAACTTGACCGAATTGAAGAAGGCATGGATCAAATTAATGCCGACATGAGAGAGGCTGAAAAAAACCTCAGTGGGATGGAAAAATGTTGCGGCATTTGTGTACTACCCTGCAATAAGTAAATATTAAACAGACATTTTTCTGAATAATATCAATTTTGTTTTTTTTTTTTTTTTAACAATTTGACCGATTGGGCAAAATTATTTTGCAATTTCACTATATGTTATATTTCTTTATTTAAAGCTTCGCAAATTTGAATTTTAATATAGAAAATTTTTTAAGAATTCAGCATATTTTCTTACTTTTCTTAATAATGGCACCTAAGCTAAAAGAGACATCGCTATTGCACGATCTAGGCAAATTTTATGCATAAACTGGAGAGATTATGGAAAGAAGCCCATTTTCTATACGAAGCTCCAAGGAAGCCCGCAATCTGCAAAGCTCATAAACATACAACAACATGGATATGATATGCCAAAGCACAAGTCCCTAGTATTTGAAATACGCCTTTTACAAATGTGATGGTGAGGGGGTGAATTAGGGGTGGGTAGTACATTTTGACAAAAACCGAAATTGTATAAAATGCATAAAGGTATACATAAAAAATTTGGAGACTAACTTTAAAGATGTAGGAGATATAAATTTATTACTGGTTTTCGATAATGTTTTTAATCGATAACAAAATAACAGGGCTAGTTATCGATATGCACGTGCTATACACGGACCAAAGAAAAAATTTCATGTCTCTAGCTCTTATATCTTCTTCAGTACGTTGAAGTTATTCGCAATATTTTTACTGTATAATTAAATACATAATATTTATTTAATATTTATTAAATACCCATTTCTTTTTAGTAAATTTTTTGTTTCACTAAAAAAACGTTAAAAAAAACAGTTACAAAGTTGGTTTAAAGTTTAAAACAGCTGTGCCAATAATTTAGTTCGTCACTGTGCATACGTAATGGTTTTGTTAAATGTATGTAACAGGCAGAAGAACGCGTGGCATACCTTACAAAGTATATATATTCTTGAACAGGGCGACGAGCTGAGTCGATTTTGCCCTGTCCGTCTGACTGTCTGTCTGTCCGTCCGTCTAACCGTCTATCAGCATGCTTGAACGCGTCTATCTCAAAAGGTATATAGCGTGGATATCGAGTTTATTCGTTTCCAAAAATCGATATCTTGTTCGGTTATTATTTATCGATTAAAAATCTTATCGAAAATCAGTAATATAATTATTGCTGCTATATTTTCCGTCAAATTTTAAATGTAGATTCATATCACCAACCAGAGAACACATAGACCGGAAACGTAGTGTAAAGCGTTTTGCACACTTTTTTCGAGCGTTATCTCCCAGACCACTTTGTATTTCCACGGCCCTTCACTTTTAGGTTCGGGCTACGAAAATATTCGAAAGCACAATCATTTCGCTTTATGCGCTCGACCAAGACGGTCAAATGTTAAACAAAAGATCCCTCTATGCTTCATGTTTCCCTTGCTCTCTCTCTCTCGATGCTCTCTGCTCTCTCAAATATGTATATGTATGTATGCATGTGAGCACAAGCAGCAGCTCACAAAAATTGAAATTTCTTCGCATTAGACTTCCGTTTCTTTCCTTCTGTGTGAAGAGTATACTTAACTCTTCAAATCGTTTTCCAAGTTCATGCAAAATGTTTGCGTTTTCGTTATTATTTGTGGGAAGGCGAAAGCGTTGGTGCTCATAATGAAAATGTTTTCGTGATTAGCACACACACTGTCCATTGCTACGTGTACTACGAGCATTTGTATGCCTGTGTGCAAAGCTCTGGCTGCCTGTAGCACTTTTAAACCCCATCAAGTGCACTTCCCAATACTCTGTGGCACTGTGGCCGGCGAGTAACTCACACATATATGTGTGTGGTATAGTGACTGGCGGGTAATTTGCGCTTATCTTTAAGCACCTGATTTGAGTTCATTTTGCCTATCAGAATGCATTTTTAAAGAAAAGTAATACCTGATTAAGTTCAGTCGGCAAAATGGGATGCGATTTTCGATCCCTAGCAGTCAGTTCAGTCGGCAAAATGGGATGCGATTTTCGATCCCTAGCACCGTTCATATATGTACAGTGCTTATCATAATTGTAGCCCACTTTTAATCCACTTAAACGAATCGGCTGGAAAATTTTCCCAAATGGCATATTTCGCCAAAATCTTCGAAAATGAGTAGTGCAATATTTCATTTATGTATGGCAAAAAACTTTTTCAAACTTAACGATATCTTAAAAAGAATTAAAGAAAAACAAGTAAGAAAACTCTAGTCGAGAGTACTCGACTAGATACTACCCTGAACCCAACAAATAAAAATGCCCATTTAGTATGTCTGAAATTTCAATTTCGATGTATTTAAAAATATAAATAAAATACCAAACTCATTTAATAAAATATAAAAATATTTTCAAACAATTTAAAAAGTTAAAATCAGTTGCACCGATCGGGATTCGAACCGCGACTTCTCGATCAATCGTCATGCAGCTAACACACTACGCCACCTCACTTCACCAAGTGGTGTTGGCAAAACTCAAATAGATTCACTGCTGCAGCGCCATCTACCAAAACTAAACGAAACTAACTGCTGATGTGATTCTAAGAATCTGCTAGAATAACCAAACTATTAAAAACGCACATTAAGTATGGTTAAAATTTCAATTTCGGTGTATTTAAAAATATAAATTAAATAGAAAACTCATTTATGAAAATATAAAAATATTTTGAAACAATTAACAAAAATTAACATCAGCTGCACCGATCGGGATTCGAACCGCGACTTCTCGATCAAGCGTCACGCAGCTAACACACTACGCCACCTCACTGCGGCAAGTGGCGCTGGCAAAACTCAAATAGATTCACTGCTGCAGCGCCATCTACAAAAACTAAACGAAACTAACAGCTGATGTGATTCAACAAATATTTCTAGAAGAAGTTTGAGTGTACGATGCTGTTGTAGCTGCTGCATGTGCGTTTGTTAATTGGCCAAATATTTGATTATTTTTTATTAATTTTTGACTGAACGGAATTTAATGAAACTTTCAGCATATGATCTACATATTATATTGAATATTTGAGAAATTTAAAAAAATAAATGAAAAATCATTCACAATTAGCTATAGTGGCATCTGACTTGAACTTGAATGTTTTTACTCGATAAAAACATAACGGGATGATTTATCGAATTTTAAAAGCAAACTCGACGTCCGCGCTGTATATACGGTCATTAAAAAAAAAATTGAAGTCTAGCTCTTATATCTTCGGAAATCGACGCGTTCAAGCATACGGACAGACGGACGGACGGACAGACGGACAGACAGACAGACAGACGGACAGGGCCAAATCTACTCAGCTCGTCGCCCTGATCTAGAATATATATACTTTGTGGGGTCTGCCACGCCTCCTTCTGCCTGTTACATACATTTCAACAAAACCATTATACCCTGATTTCCCATTGAAAATGGGTTCAGGGTATAACAAGTAAACAAGTAAGAAAGCTCTAGTCGAGACTACTCGACTACGAGATCCCCTGAACCCTTGGAGTAATAGCAATTTCAATAATTTTTCGCGTCTTTCAGCTTACACAAGAAACACGCACACACACACACATAGACACATGCACGCACGCACACATAGGCATACATCCATACACACACACACACACACACTGTAAGGATCCAATTTTCCAGCTGGGGCAGCGTCAGTTTACCCAGGGTGGATACCACAAGAAAATTTGTGATTCGCTGTGACCGGAATTCGGAGAGGGGGGGCATAGGGAACAACGGGGGCAATGCTGAGGGTTTGGCCTCTCAGCGAACGGGCATAGCCGCGTTCTCTACTTTAACTACTTAATGCCGGGATGCGCCTCGGCCAAATGACGAAATATGCAACGAGGAGGGAAGGGGGGAAATGGGATCTACTAGCACCATTAGTTAGTTATTAGTTGCCTGATAGAAATAAAACACACACAGATTCACTTCTTCACAATCTCTTTATTTCACAACTCTCTTAATTTCTTAATCTCGCTATTAACTATGGTCGCGCTCACCCACTAGCCTTCAGTCTCGCTGTCGCTCGCTAACTTTCAGTCTCGCTGTCACTCACTAATTAAAACTTCTATCGCTCTCCAGCCGCCTCCACACCTCGGCCGCGCGCTCCGCTTCGGCGTCGGCAATGCAACTCACCACAGCTTCGGGCCCTTTGAACTTTTCGCCGCGAAAGAAGAAACCATGGTTGCATTGCCGATCGCTGCGACTTGCGCGGGCATTTGAAAACGACTTATGTGAGGTGGCTCATCGAGCCGCCTTACAACATACACACACACACACACACACACACACACACACACACACACACACACACACACATTGGGTTCGTACGTGGCCGATATGGTAGCTTTTGGCTTTACAGTTGCTATCTGGCCCCCAGCATGCAGCTCAGTGAATGCTAGGGGTCGGAAGGCCATTATAGCTGGAGATTTTAACTCCTGGGCGCTAGAATGGGGTAGCCCCACAACAAATGCCAGAGGTCGTATCCTACTGGAGATCTTCGCGACACTAGATGTTGCACTGCTCAACACTGGCCATGAGTACACCTTCAGTCGGGCGGGATACGGGTCTGGAGCCATTGCGATAGCTATACAGGCAGCGATCATACGGCACTTCTGTTCACAATAGGTGAGCCACCTGCCAGGGCGTCAACATTGTGGAGGGAGTCGTATCGGCTAGATACTTTTGATCCCGCGGTCTTTTCAGAGGCCATTCAGTCTCTGGGTACAATTGGTAATGCTGAGGCCAGAGCATGCCAAATGGTAGCCCAAATACAGAGTGCCTGCAATAGCAGCATGTTACGCCGCAAGCAGTTCACGCGACAACATGAGCCTACGTATTGGTGGAATACGCAAATAGGTGACATTCGTCGCAAATGCATCCAGGCGAGAAGAAGCTACCAACAGGCTCGCGGTAGGCCAACGTTTCTTGAGAAACAGTTAGCTTACCAGGCAGCTAGAAGACAGCTGAAGAAGGCCATTCGGGCAAGCAAAAGAGAATGTTTTTTACAGTTGTGCGACTCAGCCGAATATGACCCTTGGGGCAGG